ATAAAATGAAAAAACAAAAACAAAAAACATCACTTTAATATCAATCCTGAACATCCAGTTATTATACAATAGCCAGAAATAAAGAAGAATATACATCTGAGTAAGGTGAAGTTACAAATGATTTTTGCACTCTGACCACTGAAAATTTTCATGAACAACTCTAATTTAGACGTGCTAGCTATTATATTGAACTCGATTCAAATCTTCATCTAACACAAACTTAACACAAATTTCAAGGGCTATCGATCATGTTAGAAAAATGAGTAAAGCAGTGTTTAAATCACTAAGATAGATGAAAATCATTATATCGGCCAAATATTTCGACTATTGACCCATGTGGACGTACTTTTGAAAGACTTATTTATAGCTCATGTTGAAGTCCGTGAAATTCTCTGTCGAACCATATATAAAGTAGGGTGATTAACGAGAAAGTCAATGGATATTATACACACGAACGACATTGAACTACCGGTTTGCTGAGATGCTGCCGAGTATTTCGTATCTTAGACTACCCAATTACATTTTCTTAAGACTATCTTATACATCATTTTGTAGCCTATGAAGATGTCTATGGAACGGTGTCTAATAGTTGATATTTGCTCTAGGTGAAAGCGGTGGAATGATGAAAATATACTCTGAGTAAAGGTCATTTAACGATTAATTTAGACGTGCTAGCTATTATATTGAACTCGATTCAAATCTTCATCTAAGACAAATTATCGTAGGAAGATACATAAGAGTTTACCTTGACAATATTGACTCTCTCTCCAACTGTTTCATACCTCTTTAATTCTTCCCATAAACGATGTTTCAGCATTTGATATCTCTTTTCCGTTCCATCGTTCTTCGTGTCGAACTATTTGTTGTTTATCGTTTAGATATAATAATATGGTTGATTCAATAATCGTCTCTTTCGATACTAATTTCCATTCATATTTTGTCTTTAAATGAATTTTTATACAATTTGGTTCAGAATCAAAATCTGTTTGATATTCTAACACTTGACTACGTTTAAATATTTTTTCTAATGAATAAAATGCACTCTTCACAGAAGATAAATTAGCTGAATATTGAAGTGGATCTTCAAATTTCGCATCTTCTGCATAATGACGAAATGAAGTTGATGTTGCATGACTCGAATACAATTCTAGTACATCATGTACAATTTCTTGACGAATTTTCATATCCATAGATGATAATTTATTTCCAGTTGAAAATAACGATAATGATCGAAGTGAAATGGCCGCTAATGGAATAGCAGATAATGAAGAAATTGCTGACAATTTCAATATTGCATGATAATTACGTTTTAAAAGTAAAATTGTTAATAGACGTTTAACAACTAGAGCACTACTTGAATTAAATCGAGATAATATAAATGACATAATGAAAAGATAAACTTAAATATACATCTGAAAAAGAGAGAAAAACGAGTTATGTCTTAAAAAATATTTTCCACAGCACATTTGCGTTTATTAAAACTTGGCTATAGCTTAAAGTACCTGATAATTAGAAAATAAAAATATAAAAGTCTTCTTGTTTTTAAAATTATACAAGAAGGACAATATGATATTTACACACACACACATAAGGAAGCAAGGACATAACAAAAGAGAGTCCGTACATAATTGAACTACTTTATTTTATTGATTAAGTATTTTTTGATAATAATCGATTAAATTTATTATAACATATTTCTGAATCCATCTGGAGCTGTCAAGCCTGTTCTTCGGTAATATGTTTGAGCAACATTCATTTGTGTTAAATAATCAATAGTCGCTTGAGAATGTTTCCACAATCAGCATAATTGGATAGAATCACGTTTAAACGATTTATTACATCTAATAATTCATGAACATCTTGAAGCAAGAAAACACAGGAAAAAGATAACATGATAGATATTAACTGATCAATAAAACACAATATAACCATTGAAGACAATTATTATCCTTTTCAGAACACGAGATCAAACATATAAACTTTTTTTAATAACCTCTGAACGAGGATAGATAGAGAGTTTCGATCTTCGCCATTCGAGACAGGAAACCGAGGAATGTCTTTTGGTAAGCAAAACAAATTTCAGAATCTTTATTGAAAGTGTCTGCAATGTCTTTGGAAAATAGATCATGCCTTCAAAACTGTAACTAAAAATATTTTCATTTTTCTCATGGATAGATAGATCGGAGTGTACTCTCCAAAACGAGAGTGAAGTGAAACGTTGATTTTTAACCGTTCAGATGCGGTATCAAATTTCTTTAGAGCGTCAGGACTGATACCCTGACGTTATAGTTATACTATTCTACATTCTACTGATAGTAAATCTACAAAAATTTATAAAACCCTATGGTTTTTTCAAAGGACTCAACCCATACGATACATACCATATCATCAGCTAATATTTAATTTTAACTTGTCCATTAGTCTGAGGTATACCTAAATGGAAGAAAGAAACGTTTTTCTCAACGAAAGAAGATATTCAATATTGTAGTACGCCAATATACCGTGACTGTTTCAGCAATAACTTTTCCTATGTTTTCCTTATCATCGCGAACGGTTATTGGCCACTTTTCACGAACGTTTCAGCTGGACAATCAAGCTAAACAGTAGATAGAAATGATGTATGTTAGACGTGACATTAAATATTTGCAAATAACATACTTTATATTTTTTTAATGAAATCGTCTATCCTTAGAAATTTACTTTCGATTTGTCGAAATGTAGTCGCGAATTTTGTCAGTAAATTCTCACTATATTTTGTATATCCTAATTCAAAAGAAATCTATTGTGTCAAACAAAAAAGCGTAAACAATCGATTTTTAAACGATGATTTATTACTATCTCTCAGAAAAATATAAGAAACAGACTCTTATTTCTTGATAAAATTCACGTTTAAACATAACTATTTTCAGCCGAAAACAACATCTTTAATATAGACTTTTTCGAGCACGTGTAAAGGTGTTATAATGGAAAACACAGCAGTCCTGTTGTCATAACGAGAAAGAAAATAAACAATAAGAAATATAATAAGAACTACTGATAAATTAATTACATACCGTTCACGTTTACAGGAATTTTACCATAAATGAACTTCCTAAAAACATGCATAACGAACATGAATTACCATTTGTAAGAATAAGACAATGTACACGTACCTCATAAATTTCTGGCATTTATTGTCCTATAAAATAACATAAACATTTATTATAAATAATAAAAGCTAATTTCAAAGTACCTTATATCGATGTTTCATTGTTAACTGATGTTCTCAAGATAAAAATGTAATTTGATAATAAGTTGGAGAAAATATTTATATATAAAATAGGGAAAAAATAAACAAACAAACAACGATGTTAAATCATAGTTCAATAGTTTAGTCAACAAAACAAGAAGAACTAATACAAAGTGTTCAGGAATTTATATCACTTCGTAAACTTCTTTTTCAAAAATATTTAAAGCAGAGATCTACACGGGTCGAGAAAATTTTCGTTTGGTAACAGAGCAGGAAAACTCGTATAGCGAATTTATAGCATATCACCGGATCGAAAAATTTTAAAAGCTTGTTCGATCAAAACCGACTGCAGATTCGTCTTCTCCATGGTTGATTATGTGGTACGGGATAACTTCTGGATCGGGGTACTTTAGAAAACATTTTCGACATCGTTTTGCCTTTGGTCTTATACGGTAACATTTTGAAAAATTTTTGAGCAAGACCGTGAGAAAATTTTTTTCTAAAGTATCCCGATCCAAAAGTTATTGCGTACCACATAATCAACCATGGAGAAGATGAATCTGCAATCGGTTTCGAACGAACAAGCTTTTGAAATTTTTCGATTCGGTGGTATGTGTAAGTGATTTTAGAGGATTGTATGTACGGCGTGGTCAGTTGACGGTCTTCCTTAAATCCGAAGGTTCAACAAAAACACATTTCTGCTTAATTAAACAAAGAGGCACATCACTAGAGGCGGTTTTTCATGCTAATAATGAAAATCAACTTAAAAATTTATAAAAATTCAATTTTAAATTTTAAAATTTTGTAATTTCAATTTCCCCACCTATATATTTTCTTGAAAAATAATCAAAACTATGCTAATGGATTCAAAAAATTCAATTCTCTACAAATGGCTTATTTTTTTAGAAGTTGCGATGTTTAGAACAGGTTTTAGAGTCAAAACAGTTTTTTTTCTAGAAAAAACAATTTTTGTAACCACTTTTTCGATGCGCTAAACAAATTTGTTAACTTTATTTTAAATTGCATTAAAAAGAGCACATGTAAGTCTATATATTAATATTAAAAATATCTTTTTCTGAATATTTTCGCCTTTGAGTTTAACCTTTTGAGTCCCAAATTATTTTTGCTGAATTAAATTGAAGCAAATCGTTACATTAACTTATTTTAGGCATAGAAGCACAAATATCTCGCGCGGGTATGTGTTAATTGGCCGATTTTCTATTGCTTCATTCCAAGAGATTACGTACTAATTTTTATAAATTATGCTGTGAAAAATAATTATAAAACATGAGTAGCATTTCTATTATTATAAGACTCAAAGGGTTAAGCTTCTGTAATGAAACACGAAAACATAGTATTCTGTTACACTTGACCACGCCCTGTACATACCTACCGTATCGCAGTTTCGAATAAACAATTTTTGAAGATAGCTGAAACTAGTGTATGAGAGCGTAATAAAGCATTTTTATTATTTCAAATAAAATTCAATTTTTCATGTTCTTCAAGCAAGAAATTTTCTAATTTTTTATATTTTAATCTCAATAAATTTAAAAGTTAAATTTTGAATTGAGTTTTTCTCGTTCAACATTTAGTTGTTTTATTAGCGCAGTATATACATTTTTAATGATTTTCTAATCTTTAAGTAAATTATCGTCTGTTATTAGAATTCTCTATTTCTCACTTCTCTCGTATACTGTACCATCTGGTTTATGCTAATCTCTCTATGTAGCAGCGCAGAAAAACAATTCAATGATATTCTAACATAAGTAATGTTTTTATACAAAAAGAGAAATGACAATACAAGTAAAAAGAGATTACGTGTATATCGATAACAAAAAAGAACGGTAGATGAGCGCATTTACAGGCAAAGAATAAATATCTGGCAGAATAGAGAAAAACATTCAATTATGGTGACACTGTGTAATGACTATTTTTGTTCAATTCAATGTTTCACCTTTGCTTACCTAAAACAGAAAAAAAAAATGGATGGTGCATAATAATAAATAAAATCAACTTAAACTAAGACAAAGAAAAATTTGTAAATTTACTCTTGCTTCTAAATAATCGACTTGTCTTTCCAAGGATGTCAATTTTTCATTTAATTTTGACAAACGATAACGACACGACGATTCTAAAAATAAATAAAGAGTATGTAGGTGTCATGCAGGTATGTAATGCGACTCATATACACACCAAATTGATTTAGAAAATCTGTTAAACGTTTAATCGATGTTGTTAAAATTTTGATATCTTCTCGTCGTTGCCAATCATCTTGAATATCGCGACATATTTGGCTATCATTATTGTTTGTTGATATAGACGAACGTCCTGTAGATGAGGCGGCGTAATGATTTGCCGAGGTAGTAGTTACGGGATTCATTTAAAAAGACGATAGCAACACTTTTCTTCTAAAATAGCTATTCATTTCAATATATAACTTAATTTGTGGTATAATGCTCGATAAAAAATGATGGAAACATGCAATTCTTGCCCATGTCGTAGAGAACATCGATCGGCGGACAAAACAAGCTCAGATCACTATGCAGAAGTGCTGTATCTCACTATTCTTTGATAGAATTAGTATACTAAAATGTGCAATGAGCGTTAAACGCCCGTCGGCAGTCCTCTGTTAGTATTTGCCATCCATAAAGAATCCTTTTTTCTTGTTATTCTGAAAAAGTTATTGGATATAATGAAAGTATCGCGTATTTCACTACAGCATGCTCTGCAAAGATATGTAATACTAACAAAGCAGCTCCATTTAAAATTCGACGTAAGACGATGATCTCTATTTATCATGGTTCATTGACGATACCATTCTTACTGGAAACTCATGATAAAATTTGATAAAGTACGTGTAAATTTAAAGTAAAGTGTAATATAAGTTGTCGACGCTCCTGCATCGCATTGCAATTCCTAGTGAATATACTCATAAGTAAGTTCTCAATAACTCAAAAGCTACAGCAGAGAACTGCAGTTCTTAACCAAAGTTTTGAGTTTATGTACTTATTGAGTACTCGTATGAGCAGTGAATACCCAAAGTAGTTCTATTAAGTACTAAATAAAGAACAGAGACAATTTCGCATGAATACTAATATGAGTGCTCAATAAGTATTTATGAATACTAAATTACGAGTAATTTTTATTAGAACTCGTAGCATTACTCATGTAGAATATTAATTTGAGTGGAGAATACTGTTTATAGGAGAGATATTCGTTTTTAGAATTAATTTGAGTATTCATGCTTGAGTACATTCACTAGGGTTGCTTGCTTTTGAATGAGAGTAGAAAAATCTGCTCATCAGTGTTAGCGATAGTATTTACTGCGGATGTCAGGGATAAAAAAATGAAATTAATTATCAGACAGATGGAATGTCCTCGGAGCTGCCTTTTCACTCTAACCAATTTGTCTGACTTTCAAAAATTGGTGAATTCTCAAATCTCTTAGAAAATTAACCATTTATAATTCTGATTATTTAAAACTGGTTCAAAACAATTCTTTCAGACTCTCATCGCTAGTAAATGTTAACAATCTTCACATTGTGCTAATTGTTTCAGAGAATATTCACGCCTATAGAATATGATTACATGTATCACTGTTTTCAATAGCATATAGAATTTCTCATCGTTTTTTTGTATTTATATGAACACTTGAAACCGTTATCTAATCATCGACTACCAGTCATGTTTGTCCACTAAATAATTTTTATGCGGTATTTGTCAAAAATTGCACTTTCATTGACTAAAAGAAATAGCGTATTAGCCTGAAGATGATAGATGACGTCCTACTACAAGTCGGATGATTTTTTCTGTACTGTCTGACTATATTGCAACCAGAAGAGCTTCAACAACTAAACAAGATCACGTATTTTTTATTCTTAGCAAAGTAGCTGTGACGATGAAAAGTTCGGTTTCATGAAATACCAGGTTTATAAAAAATACCAGTGAAAAAAATACCTATAGTAACGAGAGATTGGCCAAAATATGTAGTTTTTCATACGCGATTTAATAAAATCAAGTCTTCACTAAGTCAAAATTCAAATTGGGATCTAAACTTCTTCGACTTTTTTTTGAAATAAAGATATCTCAAAAACGTCTTAGTTTCCTCCACAAAAAAGAACTCCGGATTTGAGTAGAACGTAGAATTAATTTTATGTTACGTATTTCGGATGATTTTCAGAATATCTTTTGGAATCGACTTTATCGGAAAAGGAAAATCAAACTAGTTTTAACATTTTCACATGTTGCTGGTAGCCATTTTGTATTTTTCTACTTCCCGTTCCTTTTGTTGGCAGCTACCTTTTAGCCAATACTGAAATTACCGACTAATGGTAGGAGTCATTAGCAGATAATTTCTGTCAACGGTACTGAGGTAGTGTTCCTGCAACACACATTTCTAATCTATTGGAATTAATCACTTCTGGAATCAATTAAGTTCAATTTTGTAAAATAGAATAAAATCTCTATACCTAACAGCAAAAATTCGTACCGATGTTCATGTAATGCAGAAGATGAAAGGAAGTGTAAATTTGCTAAATTTACAATCTTCATCTAGATAAATATATGCGGATGATTGGTTGGATATGTGGCCACTCTTCTTATCTCAAAAGACGATCAATATTTATAGAAATAAAACCAGCTGACGGAGCGTTATTACCTTTTAGCTCGAAATAAAATAGTAGCACCAAAGACGGACTATATAAGTCAATTCGCATTGACTTTGGCTATCTACTATTCGAAGCTAAAAGAAAATAACGCTAATGGAAAATTATTTAATAATATACTAGATTTGTGTCTCACAATAGATTATATATTTTATTATGATTAACTTCGTTACAATAACCATGTTGATATAAGTAAGAATAAAATTGTAACAGAAGTAAACGTGTGAGAGTCATTTTGTTTTCCAACATTTTGATGCTTTATTATGTCATTACGAAAAATTTTAAACCAATATGGTAAGCATTTACCTAGATCATCTTAGAAGAAACGTGTAAGCACGCTTTCATTTAGCATTTTGATACTAATGCGCATCTAAAAAATGCAGAGAGGATTTTGGTTATGTTCTGAACATCGTATTTAATCTATGCATGGAATATAAAGTTTTATTTTGATCAGACTAAGCCAAACAGTGGAATCCCTCAGTAGCATCGCCGCAATCCGAGACAAATACCTATCTCATGATTACTTCGCTTACTTTTGACGTAAAACTAGTTGAAAGAGAGTATACAATACGAGCCAGCTAAATACACTAATCCAAATAGAGGTTATTTAGTTTTTCATAAACCTATATCTAATTTTCATGGTTTTTGTTTTCTTTTTTTTAAATTATGTGTTACATCACTAGGTGTAACAAGTTGTAGATATCTTGATATGTGTTCATCAAGTCAACATGCACGTCAATTAGGTTATGTTTTGTTATTTTTAATTTAGAAACAATCGAGCCGATTATCGATACAAAAATGACGCTTACTTCTTATTTATGGAACGTTTGACGTTGGTGTCGATCATCTTATTTATTATCGCTGATATATTTGCTGCTGTTAGTATTTACAAACCATACTGGATTTTATCGGTCAAAAACGGTAGGATGCTGAACGATTCAATCTGAAATACTATCAAATTTTAAATAACAAAATGATTATTGAACATATTTTGTTATTACTTATTTTCAGGTGAAACCAATTTTGGTCTTATTCAAACGTGTTTTTCGAGAGATGATCTAAAACAAATCTGTTATATTCCGTCGACAATTCGTTTAGAATGGCGTATATCATTTATTTTATCACTTTTTGGCATCTTCTTAATAACAGCTACGACTGTTCTCATGATTATATCAAATTTTTACCAAAGTTTTGATGAATATGGAAGAGTAACCGGATTTTTTGCTAGTGTGTATTGTTAAACAAGATTTATTAGTTCTATTGTATTATTTATTGATTTTTTTTTAGTGGTATTATTATGTTGTTCAGCTGTTATATATCCAATGGGATTTGATTCAGAACTTATTGGAGGTTAGTGTTCAAAATTAGATGAATATTTTGATAGATTTTCTCACTTTTCAAACCGAACGATGTGTTCAATGAATTTTCCAAAAAAGTTTTTTCTTACTATTGATGAAAATCGTACAGTTAGATCTGTACCTTTGATTGTCTTTCCCGGCGGCCTTTCTCAGAGAAAGAGCAAAAGGAATATTGATCCAGGCGGATAGAGAAATGTTATGAAGAGTGAAACAAAAGGGACTGATAATATAATTACTGATTGACTGTTTACAAGTAACACACAATATATACAGACAAAATCCTTCTTCCTTTTCACAACATTTCATGCGTAAAGTACAGTAATATTCTGTAATATTCTTTGAAAATGACTCTATGAAGAGTCGAAACGTCAGATCTTTTTTAATAAAATAGATTTCAGTTTAGTCTATGGCTGCTGTTAATTTAAAAAGGAATATTCTAATCAAATTATTGGCTCTTAATCGTTTTAATGAAAATCGGTGTTATTACAACAGTTATTATGCATATAGTTTCTACATTTTAAATCGTTTATGATAGGCATATTATTTATTCTAGCAAAGCATTTATTTATATTTAGGCGCTCCATTTCAACTTCCAACCGATTATCGTATAGGTTATTGTTACATATTTTTTGTTTTATCAACATGGTTAACAGTATTGTCCGTAGTAATTACTGGAAAAATGTGTTTTCCAAGACTTGATTAATCAAATGTTTTCTTTTCTTTTCCTATTATTTTTTTAGATTTATATTGTTACTTATTTGTATATGTAAATAAAATATAAAATATAGTGTTAACATTCATTTTGTTTTCTTACCTATTAAAACTGAAAACTTGGAGCAAGAATTTATCTATATATATTATAACCTTGTTCAAATATAAAACTCTCAACTTTTGTTCATTCTGTTGATAATTCATGTAGCAAATCTCATAACTCATAAATATTTAAAGATGAAATAGCAAGTGTGCATTTCAGAACAATTGAAACTAAGTCTATTAATAGTCAGTCTATTCTAATTTGATAAGTTTCAAATCAGAAACATTAACAAATTGAAATTATGTGAATTAGATGGAATCTTATGATTCTGTTAGAATAATCTAGGGACTAATAATATTTTTGTTAATCTGCTTTAATTATATTTATTTATATATCATCATTATCTTGTTTGAAAATCTAAAAAAAAAAAAGAATGTATAGTGGATATACTGGTAATATGTGTTTGAAAGTTTGAAAAAGTTAACTGGATACTGACATAACTTAGAAAAGAAAATGTACGTAATTTGTTTTATGTGATAATTTTATATTTTTGTTCTTTATTGTTGAAGGTCAATGAATTTTGTTTGTTTATCTAAAACACATCATTCTTTCACGTTCTATAAACTGTTACTATCATTTATTCTTTTTTTCTTCCTTATTTATACACGTTTAAGTTGATTATTATATTCACTATTTTTAATAAAATAGAGAGGTTTTATTTCACAAGGGAATATTCTAATCAGCTATAATAAACTAAAACGTTCAACAGATTTTTTATAAAGTAATTTTATCATTAATAGTAGATCAAGAATTTCTGTTAACAACAATGAAAATGTAACCTGTAAAATATGTTAAACGATGAATCATCACATATGCACCCAATGAATGTTATGATCTTATTTATGTCGCACTAATAATCATTTATTTTTAGATCAAATTTCATCGAACGACATTCTCTAGATTGATATCTCGTTAACGAGAAGATTTAAAGAAGTCTATGAGCAATGTATAATCGTCTCTTTAAAAGGCTAATTAAAAATGCGTTATTAACGTACTGATTATGTAGTTTTTTATTATGATGATTTAAATCTTTAATGTTGTCCATTCTGTTAGTCTTCCTAGTATTTTTACTCATAAATTGAATCAATTTTTGTTTTTCTCTTTACTTTTCAGATAGTTGATAGTTTTTTTGCCATTATCAAGTTATGTCCATAGACTTATCTTCTAGTCGTCGTTGTCTGCCTTGTGTGATGTTTGATCGTTCATCTTTTTCTATTTGGACTGTTATCAAATCGTGTGTTGGTAAAGATTTAACAAAATTTTCAATTCCCGTCATATGGAATGAACCGTTAAGTTTTATACAACGTTTAGCTGAACAGTTCGAATATTCTGATTTATTAGATCAAGCAGCCAATTATCATTCAGAACAAACAGAAGAACGTTTACACTTAATTACAGGTAATATTTCATAGTACGATTCAAAATAGACACACACTGTTCCCCATCATATTTTTTAACCAGCAATTATCACAATTATTTTGGTTCTATTTAGCATTTTTAATTTCAAATATGTCAGCGAATCTCGAACGAATATCAAAACCATTTAACCCTATTTTGGGTGAAACATACGAATTACAAGTGAAAGATGGTGAAGATAATGTAAAATTTCACTATGTCGCTGAACAAGTTAGTCATCACCCACCAATTTCAGTGTATTATTGTAAAGGAAAACAGTGGATACTCACATCAACTGTACAGCCAAAAGTTAAATTTCATGGAACATCAGTTGAAGCCATACCTGATGGTGAGTCCATAATTTATTTAGTTCATTCATTTTGAAGTTAATTCACATTAATCGCATACTTTTTGTGCGTACTTTAGGCTGTTGGATATTAAAAATTAAGAAATCTGCTCCCAAAGGCTCTAATTTAACTGTAGAAACTACGAATGGCACTTTAAAACATTCCAATTCGTCGGGTAGTTTTCATTCATGTAACGATGAATCATCTACTCAAGAACAAGTTGAACAAGACTCTGAATATGATGTTTATACATGTTATTCTCCATCGTTAACAGTTCATAACGTTATATTTGGTAAATTATGGTGTGAATTTCATGGACAAATTGACATTCATGATCATACGAATGGAACTAGAGCTGTTGTTCAACTCAAATCGGCATACTCATGGTTTACCACATCGAAACACGATTTATATAAATTTGACGGATATATGAGTAAAGGAACGACAAAATTAAGTGCATTTCATGGAAATTATGGACATTGTTATTATAGAATCAACGATTTAAACGATTATACAACACCACGTAAGTTATATATAGTCATTTCTTAATATTAGCAGTGAAAATATATTGACTATAAGTAAATACAGAACCGAGACTATTATAGTTAATCGAAGTCAGATAATCATTTCTATGATTTTAGCCAGTCTGATCGTATTCAAACAACATAATGAAATAGCATAGTTCAGAAAAAAAAGTTTAAATCGATCAAGTTCTATAATTGACTTAATTAGTATTGTAATTCCATTTTAGTTGAAGTATATTCTATATATGTATTTCAGACTCACGTAACAATACGAGTTCTAAAAAATGTGATATTGGAGGTCATAATGTTTTATGGATGAATAATTCCTCTCTAACTCCTTCACCATGTGATGTAAATCTTTACAAATCGTCTCGACTCGTATGGTATAGAAATTTACGAATGACACAAGATGAATTAAAAGATCGTTCAAGATATTATTATTTTACACATTTTACATATTGTTTAAATCAAGAAATAGAAGAATCAACAACAATAAAACTACCAAGAACTGATTCTCGTTTTCGTCAAGATGTTCGTCAATTAGAATTGGGTAATTTAGAGCTATCATCGGCAGAAAAACATCGACTCGAGGAAAAACAACGACAACAGCATAGAAATTCAAGACATATGTCAAGGTAAACAGATTAATTTAAATTTGACATTCTTTTTTTTATGATGTATCAACAAATATGTTTTCTTTTTTTGCAAAATTATTATGTGATTTTTTTTCTTCTTCTATATTTTAGTAGTGATACGAGTACTGTGGTAATTCAATCAACAGTTGGTTGGCGACCTTTATGGTTTGATTTAGTTCCAAATATTTATAGTTCAAATAAAGATGAACAAATGTGGAAATTTAATGGAAATTATTTTAAACGAAATTTTGATAAATGTCCAGATTTATTTTAAAATTTTTATTTCTTTCACATATAAAAATTTAAAATATGTGCAATAATATATAATAAGGTATACGCAATGTGCAATGCAATTTTATTTCCACCATAAACTTTCATATTTATCTATGTTATCTTGTTTTTCATTTTTGTTATATTCATGTTTTTCTTCGTTTTTATTGTTATATGAAACAGTGACAATATCTACCAAGTTTATTCTTCTCGTTACAATTTTTTTTTTTTCTTCTTTTCTTCATTGAAATAATTCATTTGATTTCATTTTTCTGGAGAATTACAGACGATTAACTCTTTTTACTAAAAAAAGACGGCTCTAAAAAATAGTTTTTTCTTCTTACAACTTTTCCAATAGATAGTATTACAAAAGAATGATGAAATTTCTCTTTGATTATTCGTTTTGGTCCACATATTCGTTTCATGTCAGAGTGTTCTCATTTAATCTCTCAAATTCTAGATTTAGTATGAATGTATGCATATATTGTATGCAGGAGACGGTCAAAATTGGATGAAGTTTTTTTTTCTCTTCTAAATGTCAAATATATATTGATTTAAAAAATAAAAAAAAACAAAAAACGTTTGGATTCTTTTGTTTTGACCATCATTGAAAGAAAACAACTTTATAAATAAAACTAACTAAAGATTTTCTTTTCTAAAGGAATTGAATAAAAAAATCAAGATTATCTTACTATTTTACAGATTTTACAAAAGTTATTTTTAGTTATAAATAAAAACATTGATAGTAAATACTTGTTCTACGAGTAGTGAAGTTCTCCACTAAATGACTTTAAAAGTATGTAATTGAGATTTTGTTGTTTTCTTTTTTTTGTCTTTAATCCTGCATAGTTTTCGTTTTATTCATCTATGTTTTTCTAGTTGTTACTGCTACTACACTGTTTAGTCGATGAATGATACTCAGATTCTTTCTCCTTGGCGTAATATTATGTTTTCTATTTTTTGTATTCGTCTAGTAGGGGATGTTTTGTAATTTATTTTTTGTTTATTTGCTCAAAATATGTTTTTTGTTCTTTTGTCATTTTTTAATACGATAAGGTCAGAAAAAAAGGATTATATTAACACAAATAAATGTGGAGCAGTTGAAAGTGATGAAAAATTCATGTCATTATTGATGTTTAAGCCTTCTCTTGGCTATTTGATTTGCCCTTCGTCGATAATTGAATATATATATTTTGTTTTTTCACCACTGGCAATAATAATTTAGTAGAGTCAAACAAGTTTATCTAATAATATTGATGATATTTTCAAATCATTCTACATAAATCATTGTCTATCAACGAAGATAAAAGATTATTATCATAACGGAATAATCACTCTGTATGTGTTATTTGATACTAAAAATCAACATGAAGCTTATTTTTTTAATAAAATTTTATATATGTCCATGAAATAATTGTAAATGACATCTTTTTTACTCTTTTTCAATCATCAATGAAAAGATGTTTGAGTATGTAAACAGATGCTTTATAGTTACAAACTTGTTTCGTTTAACCATATGACATGTATTTATTATTTGATTTGATTTTCTTTTGAAAAAAAAATCTTTACAAAAAAAAAAAAAATTTGTTTTTATTAAAAGTGCATTTAAAATAGTAATAAACAAATGGTCGTCTATATGCCTTTTCAAGTTTCAAAAACTGAATAATTTTATTCTTTTCTTTTCTGTCCACAATGAATTCAAACTTTTTCTCCTATTCATTTATCGTCTATACTTGTTTATAACAGGAAATCATTTGGAGGAGAGTAATGTGAGACAAGTTAGTAAAAACATTGAACATAGAAACAGAGCAGGCAAATATTTTTTAAAAAATGAAATTAGAAAACGTTGACATCGAAAAAATTAAATTAACAGATTTTCCAGCGTTTACGTGCCTCTGTGAATTATGTGACGATGGGTAAGTTTAATATACAATTTTTGTTCAAAATTTTTAAATAATTTGATCATATATGAAAAGATATGGAAGTAAGATTAAATGACTGCTATGAAAATTAATAGTAGAAAAAAAAAAAATTTTCTATTAAAATAAATAATTAGTTAATGACAGTAATAAAATGGCTCTTTCATAGTGAAAGATGAAAATAAATGTTTTCATAAGTATATAGCTCTCAACTCTGAAAATAATTTATTATTTTTTCCAAATGCTCACACTTTAATTTTTATTATCATTCTTACAGTTGTTTTGATCGTGCTGGAAATGAACATCATCCAAATTGCAAACGTCAACATGCAATTCATTCTATTCAAATTAAACGTCTTAGAAATTCTAAATGTCCATTATCTCACTATAAAGAAACATTTCGTTCATATGGTGACGATGTTCGACGACGTAGTCCATATCATCCTCCGCCAGATCCCGTATCTGTCACATATCAACAACCAATGGATTTACTTAGTTCTCAAAGAGATCATTATAAACCACCAACTGTGACGAAACGAGTTGAACCAATTAAACAGGTACTGTCTACACAGATTGTATTGTGATATATCAGCTCGAACTGTTCGTTAACTAGACATCTGCACGCGTTATGAAAACATAAGCCTAAGCCTATCCGATGTATAAAAAAACATTTTTCTTACAAACATTTAATAATTCTCTTAAACACTTGGAAAATATATGTTTTACGTTATATAGCAGCATCACCGTCTATTATAATCTTTATTTGCTCAGTTTCTTTTATTCAACAGCGAATACTGTTTTGTTTTTTCATTTTCTCCGCTACATGAGAATGGTGAAAAAGCGTCAGAAAGTTAAACGGTTGAAAAAATGTATTTCGACTTTACCTGACAGTCAAAAACTTACTCGACTCTAAGATCACGTTAGAGTTGAATTGCAATAGTTTATTCTCAACTGCGCTGTTTGTTAAAGGTTGATAAGTATGTTAAAAACGATGAACCAATGCAAACTCAAAGTCACTATCAAGTGGAATTTATTGAAAAACCGATTATTAAACCAACAATGCAATTATTAAAAGATCCTGTCAAAGATTCGAAGTATGTTGTTTATCAGAATATGTAGATTTTATACTGTTCATTTATTTCTCTATTTGATAGTGTCAGTGTTAGTGTACCATTTGCGAAATTCTCCTCTCAAACGACTGCTCGCTCCCATTTTCAACCATGGAAATCAGCACCGAGTCACGCTTATGGAGAACCGCCTGCCGTTGCTGGTATGTGATATTTCATATTCTTAACAGACTCAACATACTATTGTTTTTATGTAGGTCATATATTGTTTCCGGGTGTAGATCGAAGTTTTGAAACGTCATCTGGTGTCACATTTATCCCGTTTCCAGATCTGCCGACCACAAAATCGATTACTAAAAACGAATATGGAGGAAACTTGAAAGTACCATTTGGTGAGTAGGAACATGCACTAATACCTTGCGTCATGAAAAGGGCCTTTTCAGGTTCAATGGATCTGACAACTAATTATCGTAAAGATTATATTGAGCATGAAATAACTAAAAGTGACATAGCCACAAATAGTCGTTCTTCAATCGAACTTCAACCTAAACGAAGTTCATCAGTTATTTACGTTCGACATCCAATGAATTCCATTACACAAACAAAAAGTGATTATCGACCTTATCCGAATCATCGACCACCACATCCAGCTGAAATGGAACCATTTCAATCACAAATTACGATTGGAGGACGTACAAGGTATACAAATTTAACACAATATTCATTGTTATATAAAAAATCTTTTTAATTTTACAGTGAACCATCGTTGAGTCAATATCGTCAAGATTATCCCGGTCATGATATGAAAGAAAATCGGCCTGTTTTTACGAGAAAAGATGCGCCTACCTACAAACCACCAACAGAAAAAATGGAAACAGTTACTATAACACAGGTGATCCACTCAATGCATGAATTAAACTCCAAATTACGGAAATTTATGAGTATTCATAAGTTTATCCTAGTACTAACTCGTTCTTGAAATCTATTTTCTTACTTTGATAGCGTGATTACCAACCTCTTGATTTATCTTCCGTTCCTCGATTAAGAGTAGTTCCACTAAAACCAACATTGACCTCCGAAGTTGGACCCATGGAAAGTGTTACAACTTCAAGACATCATTTTAAACCGTATCAATCAACACAACCACGACGATATGGAGATCCGGCACCATCATTTTACATACCACCAGTAGGAAAAATTCAATCAACAACTACAAACTCCGAACATTATCAAGCAAGACCAGGTTAGTCGAGATTTAAGGAGTTTTGACAGACTCACTTTTTCTTTTATCACCTTTGAGAACGAAGTGTGTACTCATCCATTATATTTTTAGTAATACTTCTGATATTTTCAGGTGAAAGAGCGAGAAATTATAAACCCGAGATACAAATTTTAAATCGTGTTGGCGCTCAAGATTTTAATACAATGTATCGTGCCGATTTTAAACCACATGGTGTAAATTTATGCGGAGCTAAAGCATACACATTAGCTCAAAAACTTCAACAGCAATTAGATGAACAACAACGGCAGATGCAATCGGTAAAATAAATTGAAATTTTCATAGGACCTAAACATTTATTTTTTTAATAAAAATGGAATAACATGACAAGATCCATATTTATTGGAATAGGTATCAAAATACAACTCATTTGAATTATTTTCCATTTACTACCTTTAACTGGTAATATATTTGATCGGTGTATGCGATTCTCGGTTGTAGAACTGCGAATTTAGTTTTTGAATCATAGGGATGAAACCGTGGTTCTTGCTTCTAATATAGGAATAGAAAGAAACGAAACAATCGTTCAAATTTAAAAGAAATACTATAAATTATTCAATATTTTTAAAAAATAAATTCCAAGAAAGTTTATCGTATTACATGCTTTTTTGTTACAAACTTTTAAGCAATAAATAAGATAACAGTCACATCAGTAAGAAGATAAAATAAACCGATCTGATAAGGTAGTGAAGAATAAGCACGAATAGGACGCAGAATAAAGATTTCAGAAAAAAAGCGAAGTTCTTTTTCATTCAAATTTGAATGAAATAATTCGACAGTTTTAATCAAATAAAACCGTCTTAAATACTGAGGTTTTCGTTTTGAAATCAGAACCTAGCGAGAAAGATGATCTCAGTTGTTGATCAGAATAGAGAAATCGAATATCCCTAACGTTTGAAATGTACACGATACACACAAGAGATAAAAGTCTTTGTCATATTTGTCTGTTTCATAATAATCTGGAGTATAAAGAAGTCTATATTTATGAATGATAAAGACTAATAACTACTTGCATCTCATTTTCTTTTTCTCTGTCAGTATATGT